GATTGGTATGGAGATTGTAGTCCATCCCGGGGGGGCGGAGCTTGGAGCGGTGACTACAACACACACAGGGAGCATGGGGAACAGACGTAGTCACCCCTCCAGAAGGAAGGACGGTGTCAGATATGATTGGAGGATCTCCAGCCGAGTGATACACAAATAAGATACATTGTTGCTCAGAGTTCGGGGACTCGGAGGGAGTTTGAGGATCGATCTCGGAGTGTACTGTCACTTTAAGGCCTGTAGGTGTTGAACAGTCTGTAATTGGAGAGAAAACTGCCCCAAAAGGTCGTAATCAATACTGATCAACGGTTCACCCCCTGAATGGGCTGAGGTTCATAGAGGTGTCCCCCAAGGTTAGAGAGAGATGTAATCTGCCCCGCTACAAAGCATTAGTAAGACCTCATCTGTCTCCATCCTTTCTTGTATTATAAGAGGTATAGACTCCAGAGAGAGAGAGATGTAATCTGCCCTATACAGGGCATTAGTAAGACCTCATCTGTCACCATCCTTCCTTGTATTATAAGAGGTATAGACTCCAGAGAGAGAGATGTAATCTGCCCCGCTACAAAGCATTAGTAAGACCTCATCTGTCACCATCCTTCCTTGTATTATAAGAGGTATAGACTCCAGAGAGAGACGTAATCTGCCCTATACAGGGCATTAGTAAGACCTCATCTGTCACCACCCTTCCTTGTATTATAAGAGGTATAGACTCCAGAGAGAGAGACATAATCTGCCCCTATACAAAGCATTAGTAAGATCTCATCTGTCTCCATCCTTCCTTGTATTATAAGAGGTATAGACTCCAGAGAGAGAGACGTAATCTGCCCCTATACAAAGCATTAGTAAGACCTCATCAGTCACCATCCTTCCTTGTATTATAAGAGGTATAGACTCCAGAGAGAGAGATGTAATCTGCCCCTATACAAAGCATTAGTAAGATCTCATCTGTCTCCATCCTTCCTTGTATTATAAGAGGTATAGACTCCAGAGAGAGAGACGTAATCTGCCCTATACAGGGCATTAGTAAGACCTCATCTGTCACCACCCTTCCTTGTATTATAAGAGGTATAGACTCCAGAGAGAGAGAGACATAATCTGCCCCTATACAGGGCATTAGTAAGACCTCATCAGTCTCCCTCCTTCCTTGTATTATAAGAGGTATAGACTCCAGAGAGAGAGACGTAATCTGCCCCTATACAAAGCATTAGTAAGACCTCATCAGTCACCATCCTTCCTTGTATTATAAAGAGGTATAGACTCCAGAGAGAGACGTAACCTGCCCCATACAAAGCATTAGTAAGACCTCATCTGTCTCCATCCTTCCATGTATTATAAGAGGTATAGACTCCAGAGAGAGAGACGTAATCTGCCCCTATACAAAGCATTAGTAAGACCTCATCAGTCACCATCCTTCCTTGTATTATAAAGAGGTATAGACTCCAGAGAGAGACGTAACCTGCCCCATACAAAGCATTAGTAAGACCTCATCTGTCTCCATCCTTCCATGTATTATAAGAGGTATAGACTCCAGAGAGAGAGACATAATCTGCCCCTATACAAAGCATTAGTAAGACCTCATCAGTCTCCATCCTTCCTTGTATTATAAGAGGTATAGACTCCAGAGAGAGAGACGTAATCTGCCCCTATACAAAGCATTAGTAAGACCTCATCTGTCACCACCCTTCCTTGTATTATAAGAGGTATAGACTCCAGAGAGAGAGAGACGTAATCTGCCCCTATACAGGGCATTAGTAAGACCTCATCTGGAAGGTGCAGTTGAGTTTTGGACTCTGGTTGGACGTTGGGGAATCGGGGGGAGTTAGGGTTAGGCACGGGCACTCTTGGCAAGGAGATTGGGGAGAGAGTATGTAGGAGGGCAATGTTAGTGGAGTAAAGAATGCATGGAGTATGTGCGTTCCATACCGGAGCAATGAGCTAAAGAACCCGGAACTAAGCACAGACATGACACTGACCAGGGGAAAGAGGATACAATACCAGAGGGCCACGGAGATCCCACAAGTCACATGTATGTCCATATTGGATGTGGGTCCCGTGTGTGGTGTTCAGGGCCCCCGGGGCAGATAGTATCTATATTGGATGTGGGTCTCGTGTGTGGTGTTCAGGGCCCCCGGGGCAGATAATATCACATGTATGGATCCTATTGGTCTCCAGGGTAAGCGTGTCCCAGGTAACGGATCCGTCTTTGGAGTATCCCCCCCGCTGTCTCTGATGATCGGCCTCCAGAATGCCGGATATTTGTAATGTGCCATAAACGTAGGCGGTTGTATGTGGTGACGTGTGACATGCGACGGTCTCTCTGCACCCTCAGGGTGGATTTCACATGCGTGGCGCACACATGATATCTCCTCACTCACCACAGCAGGCTCTGCAGGTTCTCATTGAATCGCATTCCCCGCTCGCGCTCCCCGTTGGGCTGCACCCAGGACTGGCACAGGAAACGTTTCACGATGGAAGCTGCGTCAGGGGAAGATCGCACACGGTTACACACACATGGACAGAGCCGAGCGGACACACGGACAGAGCCGAGCGGACACACGGACAGAGCCGAGCGGACACACACGGACAGAGCCGAGCGGACACACGGACAGAGCCGAGCGGACACACGGACAGAGCCGAGCGGACACACATGGACAGAGCCGAGCGGACACATGGGGGGCGTCATACCTATCTTGCTGTGATACGGAGCGGCCTCAGTCTTCTCCAGCACGCTGATCAGCAGTTGCGTGAGGCGCAAGGCGCAGCGCAGGTCGGGGACGCTGCTGCAAAGGTTCTGCAGGTAACTGAAGCTGTGGCTGAGGGGGGAGGAGAGCAATGAATTGTGGGAAGTCACAGACCTGTCAGTCACATGGAGTATGTAGCTCCTCCTCCTCACCTGACCAGCTCTTCCATTGTCAGCTCCGCCTCCGTCTCCTTCAGCCTCCCGACCAGAATCCCGAGAGCGTCCTTCAGCAGACTCCGCCTCTCGTGCTGCGAAAACCCCGCCCTGCATAAGACACGAAGCGCGCTCAGCTCTACACGCAGAGATCAGGG